AAATAAAAAAAAAAGAAAAATAGAATCCAATTAAATCTTCAAAAACGATTGAAGGGAAAACGAGTGTCGGTAATAATGACCAGGAAGAAAATAAGACGAAAGGGAGTGCATGGAATCTGTCCCATAGGATTTGTCGAGATTCATATTGGATTGGTATCCTTCCAGATGGTTGTCCTGAAGAAAGAAAAATTCAAATCTATCGATCATACACGATCGAGTGTTACCAGTATATACTTTTTCACACATTGTGGGTGTTCCCTTGCGAGTCCTAGCTCGAAGAATAAAAAAAAAATATGAGGGGAAGAAGGAGGGAGGAGGGGGTGGGTAGGAGGAGGAAAAAAAAGAAGATGAAGAAGAAGAAGAAAAAGAAAAATAAGAGAAGGAGAAAGACCGTAAGTTGGCCGTGTTCTACGTGTGAGGGCAGTTTCGTGGGCCTTGCGAAGTATGCGCGGCGAAACGTCAAGGAACAGGGGTATGAACATAATTCAGCTCGTTATACTTGGACCGAGTGGAGAAGGCAGGACCAACGTAGTCTCGAGTCCCTTATGGGGCCGTACTCACAACGGAGGTCAGGAGGCCTCTGTTCCAATTTTGTGCCCAATAAGACTAATTCCCTCAAAGGTGCCGCTGAAATGATCCAAACCACCTCCACTAGAGGAAGAAAACTTATCGGCAAATTTTACGTCGATTATGCGACGCCACGGATCGCTAATATCGAATATGACTATTTCTACCGTAAAAACTTCACTCTTGGATACGCCTAACAGATTCTAGGGATACATAGCTATATATACTCTCTCGAGACAAATATCTTTCATATAATATTTAAAATATTATGTAATTATTATTTTTACGATTATACGCTTTTTGATATTTTATTATTTTAAATATGCAATAAATTTCAAGAAAATGATCTTATCGAGTAATATTTTAAAAATATGTGAACACAAATTTTACAATAGAAGCATTCCATATGTTTACTATCGAAAACCACTAGACAACTTTAAAAAAAAGGAAAAAAGACAAAAGATGGTATAATAATTCACACTAAGGATAGAAAAGAAGATTTTTACATAATTTCTCACTCTCTCACTCTCTCTTTCTTTCTCTCTTTCTTTTTCTCCCTTTATCTTTCGTCTGGGTGGTCGTCAAGTTGCTAACACGTTACGAGTTCCAAAGTTATGCAAAAGACGCATTCATTCAGTCAATAAGCTAATCAGGAAAATATTCGGAGCATTTGGTAGTCTAACGAAGAAGCCACACGCTGCTTTTTAAGAAATACAAGGACTGCTGTTCTAAAACCATAAGGTCCTAAGTTTTTAAAGCGACCTATTCATCCTACACAAAACCCTACCGTATCTGTATGTATAAGGAAGGTCAAATTTTCTCCATCAACCCAAATATATCCGCGTTGCATCTATCATACTCGAAAAATTTATTATATCTATCATAAGAATAAGTTCGTGGTAACAAGTGTCCTCCACCACTCTCCTCTCCCACCCCTAACCCTATCAATTTCTAAGCAAATGCTTTTAACGTCCAGAAATTCTTACGATACCCTACTACTCATTCAAAACTTATGGATTATGCGCCTTAAATGTAAGCGATTCCAACGAAGTGGAAAGAATAATATATACATATATATATAGAAATTGAAAATATGAAAAAAAAAAATAGGAAAAAAAGAAAAAGAGGGATCTCTCTCGGACGGACACATAGAGGGACGAATTTCTATTAAAAGCAGCAATTAGTCTAAGTCTCGATAAATCTTTATGAGTGATACGCCGACATCAGTCTCGTTGTCAAAGACGCCCGCGGGGAAGCCCACACCGATTTACACTACGTATTCTAACTCGTAGAAAAAAAAAAAAACAAAAAAAAAGGAAAGAAAAAAGAAAAAGATATAAGAATATGAGGAAGGAAGAAAGAAAGAAAGAAAGACAGAAAAGAAATGAAAAGAATAGAGAAGAAAGAAAGAGTGATAGAAAAAAACACGAGGAACCGATGTAAAAGTGAAAGAGAGGGAAATAGTGGATGGACTCGGGGAATGAGTAGG